CTCTGTATATCCATATCTTGTAGGTTCTTTTAAAATACTACTAGTTTCTTTACATTTACTTCTTGGGAAGAGAGCAATGACACCACACTGGTAATCAAGATCCACATAGTTAAAGCAATGACATTCTCCATAGTAACCTATGGATATGAGAGCTGGAGCATAGGGAAGCCTGAGCGAAGGAAGATAGAGGTTTTTGAACTGTGGTGTTGGAGGAAAGTGCTGAGAGTGCCTTGGACAGTGAGAAGATCCAACCAGTCCATACTTCAGGAAATAAAGGCAGATTGCTCACTGGAGGGAAGGATAGTAGAGGCCAAGATGAAGTACTTTGGCCAGATCATGAGAAGACAGGAAAGCTAGGAGAAGACAATGATGCTTGGGAAAATGGAAGGAAAAAGGAAGAGGGGCCGACCAAGGGCAAGATGGATGGATGGTATCCTTGAAGTGACTGGCTTGACCTTGAAGGAGCTGGGGGTGGTGACGGCTGACAGGGAGTTCTGGCATGGGCTGGTCCATGAGGTCATGAGGAGTCGGAAGCAACTGAACAAATAAACAACAACAAACCAGTTTCCAGTGAAAGTTGTGCAGTGGCCATCTTGGGAGCCTCTAAATCTCGGAACAAAGCATCAAGTCTGGACAACAGAGGGAGAAATCCCGGGACCAATAGGTCTGTATGTGGAGCTCTATTGAAGTCCCAGAATTTTTTGCCCCTCATTAAAACCCGTGATTTAGTGCTGTCTGGAAGCACCTGTTTGTGAGTGTAACATTTTAAATTGCTACTTGAAAAATTAGGTCAGGCTTAGTAAAAACATAAATCTGTCCTTTGGGGGGGGGGGGGGGATAAGAGAAGTCCATGAGAAGCAAAAGGCGGGATGACTAAAGAAGCAAATAGGAGAATTTCAAAGCAGATGAAAGAAAACTAATGTGAGGTGAGGCTTTCTATAGAAGGATTTTTATTGCAATTTTTTTTCCAGAAATCACAAAGTCCTCCCAGTTTGTGTATCTAGTGGCATTTTGAACTTCTGAGACTGATATAGAATAAAAGCCTTTTAGAATCCATCTCTTTGTAGTAGCCATTCATCAGATATTTGTGATGTGTAATTGTGCTGTCAGAAGCACCGGAGAAAATGGAAAAGAACAGAACACAAACCCTTGGTAAATCCAAACAAATACATATTGAGGGAAAGTAGTTTATTCTGCTGTCATATCTGGTTATTACAGATCACAGAAAGTTTCAGTCTCTCCAAGTTTGGAGGTCTAAGGCAGAATTATAGCAGTTTGATGCTACATTGGCAGTCATGGGATGGTTCTGGGATCTGTAGTTCTATGAGATATTTTCTCTTTTCAGTCAAAGAGTTCTAGTTCCACAGTACATTACAATTTCAGGTTTCCATAGCATGGCAGTTAAATTGATATCAAACTAACATAATTTTCTAACGTGAATGGTATCTAAGTTTGCATCTAGACTCTAGAATTAATGCAGTTTGACACCACTTTAGCTTGCAAATCATACTACAGAATCATGGTAGTTGTAGTTTTATAAAGTCTTTAATCTTCCCTTCTAAACAGTGCTGGTGCCTCACTAAACTATAACTATTGAGACACTGGTGGAGCAATGGGTTAAACCCTTGTGCCAATAGGTCTGAAGGTTGGAGGTTTGAATCCGGGGAAAGCATGTGGATGAGCTCCCTCTGTCAGCTCCAGCTCCCCATGCAGGGACATGAGAGAAGCCTCCCACAAGGATGGTAAAAACATCAAAGCATCCAGGTGTCCCCTGGGAAACGTCCTTGCAGACGGCCAATTCCCTCACACCAGAAGCGACTTGCAGTTTCTCAAGTCGACAAGAAAAAAACCCTAAAGTATAACTCCCATGATTCTGTAGCATAGAGCCATAACAATGAAAGTGGTGTCAAACAGCATTAATTCTATAGTGTAGCTGCAGCCTCATTTAGTTGGGGACCCTTTCACATTACACCACTATATGACTTTAATTCCACTTTAACTGCCATGCCTACATCTTATGGGAGCCTGGCTTTTGTAGTTTGAAGAGGCACTAGAGTTCTGTGGCTGAGAATACTCAAAGTGCATCTACACTGTAGAATGAATCCGGTTTGACACCACTTTAGCTGCATTGGTTCAATGCAATGGAAACCTGGGTTTTGTATTTTGGTGAGGCACCAGCACTCTTTGACAAAGAAGGCTAAATATCTTGTGTAATTTAATGAGACCCAGGACTGATCTGGCTGAACATTTTAAAGGCCCTTCTCCTAAACTACAAGCCCCAGAATTCTGCATAAGGCAGCCATTGGATTTCAGATGGGAAGCATACTCCTTGTCTATTCTTTCGGTTCCTGTGTGATAAGGCGTCACTCTTCCTAAACTGGAAATCCTATCGGACAGAAACATGGCTGTTAAAATCGACTCAGGGCCCTTCCACACAGCCATATAACCCAGAATACAAGGCAGAAAATCCCACAATATTTGCTTTGAACTGGGTTATCTGAGTCCACACATAGATAATGTGGGATTTCCTGCCTTGATATTCTGGGATATAGGGCTGTGTGGAAGGGCCCTGAGTCCACACTGTCATATATTCCAGTTCAAAGCAGATAATGTGGGATTTTATTCAGCTGTGTGGAAGAGGCCCCAGAGTGTTATAAGTATATAGTGTGGAAGAGTCTTAACTATTTGGGATATCTTATAGTTTATCAGAACTCAACCTACATATGCACACAAATATACACACGAAGGTGGATTGGTGCAGGGAATTGCCTTTATGAGCTCTCTTCTGGCTCAGTTATAACGTTAGTCCAAGTAAGTGATATTGGGTAACCAATACTCAGCATTGCAGCTATGTTTACCCACACTAGTGAATATGATATGAGAACACAAATCATGCCTATGCTTCATGCAAACCTTGCTTCCCCAAAGCATTCCAGCTATTAGTGGAACGGTTATCCAGAAACCATGTGGTCGAAGTATGCCCCGCTTGGCTCACATGGCCTAACTGGAGATTGCCTTTCATGTTACATTCTCTTACTATAGGTCGCATGGGTTCCTTTTCCAAAGGGGATATCAATATCTTAGTAGCAGGAGCTACTTTGCAAACGACCACCTCTTTATGGCAAGAGGGAGGAAAAGTCACATCCATCTCCAACCTAGAAATCTGCTGCTATCTAACAATTTTGTCTATGTATTGTCAAAGGTTTTCATGGCTGGAATCACTGGGTTGTTGTGAGTTTTCTGGGCTGTATGGTCATGTTCCGGAAGCATTCTCTCCTGACGTTTTGCCTGCATCTATGGCAGGCATCCTCAGAGGTTGTGAGGTCTGTTTCCTAGTTTCTAACAGACCTCACAATCTCTGAGGATGCCTGCCATAGATGCAGGTGAAACATCAGGAGAGAATGCTTCTGGAACATGGCCATACAGCCCGGAAAACTCATAGCAACCCATTTGGTCTATGTTAAAATCTAGATCTATCAGGTTTAATTTAAGCCTTTACCATGCCAAGTAGGAGCCCCCGGTGGCACAGTGGGTTAAACCCCTGTGCTGGCAGGACTGAAGACCGACAGGTCACAGATTCAAATCCGGGGAGAGGTGGATGCGCTCCCTCCATCAGCTCTAGCTCCTCATGTGGGGATATGAGAGAAGCCTCCCACAAGGATTATAAAACATCAAATCATCCAGGCGTCCCCTGGGCAACGTCCTTGCAGATGGCCAATTCTCTCACACCAGAAGTGACTTGCAGATTTTCAAGTCTTTCCTGATACGACAAAAAAAAAAAACCTCCAAAAAACCCAAAACAAACATGTATTGACCTTGATTTTACTCTGATGTAAAATTATGAGGGATAGCTTTCGGTCACCTTATGATTTCAGTTGTTCTGTGCAGCATTATTTGCATAATCCTAACAACTAGAAACGTAGGATATTGAAATCTCAAAGGAAAGCTGAGATAGTTAAATTCCATTAAAATTCTCAGTTCATCTAAGACAGTGGTTCTCAACTTTCCTAATGCTGCAATCCCTTAATAGAGTTCCTCATGTTGTGGTGATTCCCAACCATAAAATTATTTTCGTTGCTACTTCATAAGTGTGATTTTGCTACTGTTATGAACGATGTATTTTCATTCACTGGACCACATTTGGCACAGATACCCGATACACCCAAATTTGAATGCTGGTGGGGTGGAAGGGGATTGATTTTGTCATTTGGGAGTTGTAGTTGCTGGGATTTATAGTTCACCTACAATCAAAGAGCATTCTGAACTCCACCAACAATGAAATTGAACCAAACTTGGCACATAGAACTCTCACGACCAACAGAAATACTGAAAGGGTTTGGTGGGCATTGACCTTGATTTTGGGAGTTGTAGTTCACCTACATCCAGAGAGCACTGTGGACTCAAACATCAATGAATCTGGACCAAACTTGGCACAAATATTCAACATGCACAAATGTGAACGCTGGTGGAGTTTGGGGGAAATAGAGTTTGACATTTGAGAGCTGTAGTTGTTGGGATTTATAGTTCACATACAATCAAAGAGCTTTCTGAACCCCACCAACAATAGAATCAGGCCAAACTTTCCACACAGAATCCTGATGACCAACAGAAAATACTGTGTTTTCTGATAGTCTTTGGCAACCCCTCTGACACCCCCTTGTGACCCCACCAGGTGTCCTGACCCCCAGGTTGAGAAACAGTGATCTAAGAGATAACGAACAAGAATTACACACAGTCAAAATGATCCTACACATTGTGATTTGGAAGTTACTCCTACCAAATTCAATAGAACTTTCTCCCAAGGAAGTGCAGCCTATGACAACAAAAAGGCTCAAATAGAAATCACATTAGGATGTTTTCCCACCTAGCCACCAGCCTTATCACCCATCTATTAGCTCCTATAATCATACCACAAAGACCTCTCATGTCATCTCATGCTCAGAGGTCAAAGAGATTTCATTTCCTAATCACTGGCACAGAGATGAAGGATAGGTGGTTGGTCATTTGCATTGGTAACATATGAGCATTTATCACTGCACACAAACATAAGACAAAGAGTGGCAGCTTGGAGCACAGGAAAGCATTGCAAGTTCCTTTGATGCATAGCCAGCTTCTAGAATTTCACGTCCCTCGGCAGTGACCATGGTTTATCTTCACACTCTGGCTGCAGAGGCACTTCTTCTTGACCGAACAGTCCGCACTACTCACAGCCCCATGGGTTAGGTACGCACACTGTCCATCTCCTCTTATTTCAAAGCTGCAAAGGAAAATTGATAGCAAGTGAGCCAGAGTAACTACAATACATTTTGAATGCAAAATGTTGAGGTTGTGGGTTGCTGTGAGTTTTCCAGGCTATATGGCCATGTTCCAGAAGCATTCTCTCCTGACGTTTTGCCCACATCTATGGCAGGCGTCCTCAGAGGTTGTGAGGTTGAGGTTGCATTTCTTGCAAAATGTGCTCAAGCATGTGTGTGTTTAACCTTAACAAGTTGAGTAATACCGACAGCATGAAAAGAGATCACGTTGCATCCAGATCATTTGCTTTGAACTGGATTATATGGTGGTGTAGACTCTTGTAATCCAGTTCAAATCAGATATGGATTATTTTATTTGATAATCTTGATTATATGGCAATGTAGAAGGGGCCCAAATGAGACCAAACCTGAATGAAAGAGGTACACACTTACAGGTTGTTGAACGGAGTCCCATCTGTCCATTTCCAGCTTTCTTCTGGTTCTCTCAGGAGGCCAATCCAGTGGTTGTCAGGACTTTTGTCATTCATTGCATCACTCTGATTTTTATTTTTTTTTAAAAGACAACAAGAAAAGAGAAAATAAAATTTCCTGGACTTCATAGCAATTGAGAAGTGGATTTTGCAGATTTAGGGTTGCCTGCTGTTCTGACGCAAGTGGCATGGCTGTGGTTTGCTAGTTTGTTTCCTTGCTTCTTCTAAAATGAACTTAATCTATTGTCGAAGGCTTTCATGACTGGAATCACTGGATTGTTGTGTATTTTCTGAGCTGTATGGCCATGTTCCAGAAGCATTTTCTCCTGGCGTTTTGTTTGCATCTATGAGAATGCCTGCCATGGATGCAGGTGAAACGTCAGGAGAGAATGCTTCTGGAACACGGCCATACAGCCCAGAAAACACAGAACAACCCAAAATGAACTTACTTTGTAACCATTGAAATGATCTGAGGAAGGAGGAGAACATTGGGAGGAGGACAAAGAAATTGGGACATTTTAAAAGCAGCTGGAAAAGTTGGAAAGCTTGTTTATATCTTTGCCTTCTTCTGAAGCTGAGAAAGCGTGGCTTGTGCAAGGTCACCCAGTGGGCTTCCATGGCCGAGTGGGGATTCAACCCCTATCTTGAGTCAGATATTCAAACCACTACTCTATACCCATTCTTATAGTTCCTGTACATGTTGGTAAATCAAAGAATGGAAACTTTTAAAAAATGAAAGAAAAAATTAGAGAAGGGCCCTTGTGAGACAGCAGGAAACGGTTACATGAAATACTACTTTTCACACTAAAACCACTGGAAGTGAAGCATTGTCTGAGAAAACTGTGATGACGTTTTCATGTGGCATGTAGGACAAAAATGACTCACAAAATCACTGCAATCTTTTCGCCGATGTTGAGAGATCACAGGAAGGAAACTGAGGATCTGCAAGAATGTCTCAGTTAGGTGCAGGAGTGCACTGCTTTGGCAAATCCTTCACTTACCAGTTTCTCTAAGTTGACGAACACAGCCAGGGAGGTCCCGAGAGAAGAACAGTGGTGCTGGCCGGCCTCCCAAGTCCCTTCCAGTTCCAAGACATGATAGCAGTTCCCTTGGTTCATGGTCCAACCCGATGGGCAGCAAGGTGCGGTCCCGGTGACTGCAGCCGAGGCCGGCAGGTCAGCTTTAGCCTCTGGCAATGAAAATCAGAGTTATTTTTAGCAGGTCCAGTGAAGATATCTGCCCTTGCACCTTGCTACTCTGCTTCTGAATACACATGCCCAGAGTGGAATACATTTCACCACATTAAAACAGTGGATGTGGCTCTTAATGAGACATGCTGCATTATCACAAGATGTTTACACCCTACACCACTGGAGAAATTATACTGTTTAGCCAGTATTGCACCACCTGACATCCGCCGGGAAATAGCAGCCTATAATGAAAGGACCAAGGTGGGTCCTGATACCAAGTCATTGACCTCTCTGACTCATCCTCTGTCCACATATCATCCAGCATGCCAATGCCTTAAATCAAGAAACAACTTTCTAAGATCAAGAGAGATACTCGCAGGAACACTTCAGCAAGTGAGAGTCCAAAAGTGGCAGGCTAAAACCCGGAACCTCAGTGGCCAATACCAGATGAGAAGCTCCCTCCTGGGCACACAGAAGACAGGGCAACTTGGAAGGCACTGAACAAGCTGCGCTCTGGCACCATGAGATACAGAGCCAATCTTAAGAAATGGGGCTACAAAGTAGGGTCCATGACATGCGAGTGTGGCGGAGAGCAAACTACAGACCACCTACTACAACGCAGCCTGAGCCCTGCCGTGTGCACCTTCTCACAGCAACCTTCTCACAGCGACACCAGAGACACTTCAAGTGGCCAGCTTCTGGTCAGAGGAAATTTAGCATAATGGCAAGTTTTTAACTTTGTGTTTTAAATACATTTAACTGTACCCTCAATTCACTCAAGGCACAATAAATAAATAGCACATCAATTAGTCTCTTTAGGGACAGACTCTAATAAGAGGGGCTCATAGCTCATTAAGGACCATCAACAGCACAACAACAGAGAGGAAACAAACAAGGACATCTAATCACCTCTCAACAAAAGTTTGCTCCAGGCACAGTCAGGCCATTGTATGCTAATCAAGGTGGTCAGTTGAAACATTCACACCTAGCTCCAGCAGACAAGAGTCCTTTGTCTCACCCTGGTCATTCCACAGATATATAAACCCTTTTTCCTAGTTCCAGCAGACCTCACTACCTCTGAGGATGCTTGCCATAGATGCAGACAAAACGTCAGGAGAGAATGCCTCTAGACCATGGCCATATAGCCCGAAAGAAACTACAACAACCTCATTAAGAACCCTCATTAGAGACTTCTCCTTAAAAGCCTTCAGCCCTAAAAGTATATCTCAGGCATGGGCAAACATGGGCCCTTCAGGTGTTTTGGACTTCAACTCCCACAATTCCTAACAGTCTACCAGCTGCTAGGAACTGTGGGAGTTGAAGTCCAAAACATCTGGAGGGCCCAAGTTTGCCCGTGCCTGCTCTATCTGACTAAGAAATATCAAGTCTTCCCAGGGAGGGTGTCCCAAAGCCTTGGGGTCCTTTCTTATATTTCCATCAGCTGTAACTCTGAAGTTGGTGGTTCTAAAAGAATGGCCTTTCCTTTTTGAGGATTTCAGAGTCCAGGTAGGTTCATATGGAAAGATACTTTATTTCAGATACCCTGGACTTGTGCTATATATAGTTTTAGACTTGTTAAACAAAACAAGTATAGGTCGTGATTACTGCAGCTTTTATCACATTCCTAAAGTTCTCTAAATTGGACATGGGTTTTTCCTCACTTGTAAAAACGAAGATGGTTGTCACCAAGCCTGCGATCTGAATGATGAAGAGTATCAAAACGATCCATGTGATAGAGTTCTGTCCACTGGAGGTTGAATTATTTCCTGCAGAGAGCAAGATAACAGATAATTAAAAACAAAAAAATCCTCCTAAAATTATTTTGTAGGTTGTGGTTCTACACATTAGCACTATAGTCTAGAACACTCTAGAAAAAATAAAGAGGTTCCTGTATAACAGTGGTTCCCAACCTGTGGTCGGCAATAATTAAAATATGGTCCACGGCTTAACATTACTACACCATTGCAACAAGAGTGACTGGTCTCACAAAACCCTCTTATAGTGATGAGGCATATTAAATATGGTTTTCTGTGGGCGAGCAGAAGATAACTACTGGATGGCACATGTTCTGTATCATACACTAGAGCTGATTTGGTTTATCCAACACAGTTTTCTGACTCAGCACCCCAAATAACCAAACCATGATTCGTAACCCTTTTGGTACTAATGTTGGAGAGTGGTCCCTGGTCAAGTGATCCCTAATCAAAAAAAAGGTTGGGAATCACTGCTGAATAAAGATCAATCTCAACCAGTTAGGAGTCCCTGGTGGTGCAGTGGGCAGGACTGAAGACCGACAGGCCGAAGTTTTGAATCCAGGGGAGACCACGGATGAGCTCCCTCTGTCAGCTCCAGCTCCCCATGTGGGGACATGAGAGAGGCCTCCCACAAGGATTTTTTTTTGTCGTGTCAGGAGCAACCTGAGAAACTGCAAGTCGCTTCTGGTGTGAGAGAATTGTCCGTCTGCAAGGACATTGCCCAGGGGACGCCTGGATGATTTGATGTTTTATCATCCTTGTGGGAAGCTTCTGTCATGTCCCCGCATGAGGAGCTGGAGCTGATAGAGGGAGCTCATCCGCCTCTCCCCGGATTACAACCTGCAACCTGTCGGTCTTCAGTCCTGCTGGCATGTGGGTTTAACCTGGTAAAACATCAAAACATCCGGGCGTCCCCTGGGCAACATCCTTGCAGATGGCCAATTATCTCACACCAGAAGCGACTTGCAGTTTCTCAAGTCATTCCTGACACGAAAATGGCAAATGTGGTGGGTGCATCTTCACACTGAAATTAATGTAACTTGACACCAGCTAAACTTTTGTCCCTCAATGCTATGAAATCCTGGGAACTGAAGTTTTACAAAGTCTTTAGCCTTCTCTGCCAAAGCAGGCTGATGCCTTACTGAACCACAACTCCCAAGATTTCATAGCATTGAACTATAACTGTCAAAGTGGTGTCAAGGTGCATTAAATTCTACAGAGATTTAGGAATCTCTGACTCCTCGGCAGAACTCTATGATCAGCTTCTAACAAATATTTGTAATGATATTAGTTCAATGCAAGATTTTAATAGTTTTTAATGACTCTTTAATCTTTAGGATATTGGGTTTGGTAAGCTACAATACACATATTTTTTGTAAATAAAGCTGATATTGTCTTTGAGATTATTTTTATTCTATTTATCTGTGGTTAATGAAGAAACGAGAGAATTTTGTCAATGCAAACAAACATTTAGCCAATGTAAGTATGTTTCCTTAACAAATGCAGACTGAATTCTTGTTTGGCTCAATGCAACATACAGTTTGAGCATCCTATGTAAGAAATCCCTAGGACCAGAAGGATTTCTAATATTTGCATTAAAATTATGCAATGTCTTAAAGATGGAGCACAAGTCTAAACACAAAAATATTTCATAAACATTCCTTATACAAAATGCTTGGGAACCCGATTGCGGAATACATGGGTTTGCATAGACACATATAACGAGATGTCTTACAGATAGATTCCAAGTCTAAATGCAAAACTCATTAATTTTTCATATACCCCTTATACACATAGCCTGAAGGTAACTTGTTACAATATATCTAATAATCTTGTACATGAAACAAAGTTTGTGCACTTTGAAGAACCATCGGAAAGCAAAGGTGTTACTAGCTCAGCCAACCATGTGGACAACTTTGGAGTTCAGAGGTATATTGGATTTCTGGATTACATACTCAAGTTACATATCAGGCATGGGCAAACTTTGGCCCTCCAGGTGTTTTGGACTTCAACTCCCACAATTCCTAACAGCCGGTGGCTGTTAGGAATTGTGGGAGTTGAAGTCCAAAACACCTGGAGGGCCAAAGTTTGCCTATGTTTGTATATATGACAGATCCTTGAATGTTTACAGGACTTTTGACAATTCCAAGTAGGCAATGAAATTGTTTATCAGTCTTGGGTCACTGGACAACTCTAAGTCCCATCCACTGCCTGAAGTCTTCTTAAATAGGAAGTCTTCTGCTCTAAACTTTAGCCACTCCATTGCCTTCCAACTATCTCCATACTTTGGCAGAAAAGGTGAGATCCACAATATAAAGGTGAGCATTTCCAAAGGAAACTGTTATTTGGAGGTTTCTTCTATCCAATACTACTGACAACAAATGTGTGTTACCTTCTTCTTGCTTTTCTTCCAAGTCGAGGTCAAACAGCTTGACTTTTTCTGGATCATCCTTCTGGTTCCCATCAAGCAGCTCTGATTTGAAAAATAAACAGAAATAGACAGGAAACATTAGTTGCATCTGCCACAGCTGTTAGGAAAGAAACCTTTCCTGGATGGATGCTACCACCTATTTTAACAAGGTACAGATGGAACATGTATGCAGTGGGATTAAATAAAAAGGAATCCTTCTCCAAGTAAGACTGATGGACTTTGTATTATCTCTATGGAAGAACACCCTTGAAGACCTTTGTTTGCATAGGATGCATCCACACAGTAGAATTAATGCAGTTTGACACCACTTCAGTTGCCATGTCTCAATACTGTGGAGTCCTGGGATTTGTTGTTTGCTGAGGTAATAGCACTCTGGCAAGGAAGGCCAAAGACTTTGCAATACAACGTCTCCCACAATTCTATAGCATTGACTCATGGCAGTTAAAGTGGTGTCAAACTGCATTAATTCTACAATGTAGATTGCACCCATAGTCTGGATGAGGGACAGTAAGAAGTTGAGGTAGTCCAAGTCCACCTAAGTGAACTGCCCAACAAATTTCCCACTATTTCATGTAAACAATAAAGCTTATCCTGTGATTATTTATTTATAGTATTTATATTTTGCCCTTCTCAACCTGCAGGGGACTCAGGGTAGATTACAATGTACATATACATGCCAAAAATTCAATGACATAGATACACAACATATATAGACAGACACACAGAGGCTATTTAACATTCCAGCTTTTTTCATGAGGGTATTCTGGCCACCAGGGGAGCTGTTACTTCACCGTCCATTTGTGACACTGATGGAGTACTTCCTCATTCTTTTGCTTGCTTGCTAGAGATGTTATGGTGTCATAAATTAATCAAATTAAAATGGCAAACTTTTTATTTAATAATTCCTAGAATTTTCCTTCAGGATATCAGCAGATCAGTTACACTTTGTGAATGAAATGCTTCTTTTGGAATGAGTTACTTTACAAATGCAGAGATTTTTCAATTATGATGACCCTAAAACAAGCCTGTTGCAGGTGTTATGAGGCTGGGAGAATGCGACTTGTACAAGGTCACCCAGGCCCCTTCTACACGGCCATATAATCCAGATTATCAAAGCTGACAATCCATATTATCATCTTTGAACTGGATTATCTGAGTCTACACTGCCATATAATCCAATACAAAGCAGATAATTTGGATTTTATTTGGCAGTGTAGAAGGATTTCCATAGCTGAGCAGGGATAGAGCCCTGGTTTCGTTAGGACCTTAAGTTTAAGTTCTGCCAGGTTTTATTAGAGTAAACTATTGCTATATTGTATGCATACTGTTGCTATATTGTTTCTATTCATTTGTTTGCTTTTAATGCTATGGACATGTGAGCTAAGAGATGTTTTAATTAATGTATTTCTTCAATTGTTAGGTGCTATTAATTGTAAGAAGTACCCTATTTTCAGTTCAGCCATCACTAACCAAAATATATAAAATACACCTGCTATTCTAATCTGCACCCCATATTTAGATATGTTTATATGGGGGGAAAAGTGTGTCTTGAAGAAATTGTCTTGAAGAGTTGAAGAAATACACTAATAGGACATTGAGGAAAAAGACAGCAAAAGCCACAGCTTAACAAATGGGGTTGAAGCATACTCCTCCTAGCATGACATAAAGAAGCAATAAATACAGTATATATAAAATGTAACACCTTGGACCAAGTGAAAAGTATACCTGTTTCTAACCCCCACCCCCAATGTTTAGGAGCATTAGCCTTTGAATCAGCTTTAATCTTTGTCATTTGTGGGTTTTTTAAAATGTATGGCTTTCTTCCTCTTTTGCTGTGCAAAAATCAACTCTATAAATTGTTTTAAAAGAATGCTTTGCCTTACCTTTCCCTTGGAAGGCAACTGTGTCATTTGCGTATCCCACAACAGCGGGACGGTTTGCCTCTGAGTTTGGACATTCATCCCCCCATCTGCAGAGGGGGAAAAACATTCTCCAAAATATTCACGATATTTCATTATCGAATGTCAAAAAGTCCCAATAAACCACATTGGTTTCATCCACTGGCTGCGCTAGGTGGAAATGATGGGAATGGAACTAAGGTTGGATCGACACTGCCATATAATCCATATTATCAAAGCAGATCATGTACATTATCTGATTTGAACGGGATTATATGAGTCTCCTGGTGTTGCAACCATTAAACCGCTGAGCTGCTGAACTTGCTGACTGAAAGGTTGGCGGTTCGAATCTGGGGAAAGGGGTGAGCTCCTGCTGTTAGCCCCAGCTTGTGCCAACCTAGCAATTTGAAAACATGCAAATGTGAGTAGATCAATAGGTACCACTTCTGTGGGAAGGTAACGACGTTCCATGCAGTCATGTTGGCCACATGACCTTGGACAATGCTGGCTCTTTGGCTTAGAAATGGAAATGAGCCCCCCCACCCCCAAAGTCAGACTTAATGTCAGGGGAAACCTTTACCTTATATGAGTCTACCCTGCCATATAATCCAGTTCAAAGCAGGTAATCTGGATTTATATGGCAGTGTTGATGGGGCATAAGATATAGGGAGAAGAAAGGTTGATTTGATAGCCTGCTACAAAATATATGATTATATTTATTATCAGAATGCCATTTCAGCCCATTGAGTTGTGCTTACAGCAGTGGTTCTCAACCTTCCTAATGCCGCAACCCCTTAGTACAGGTCCTCATGTTGTGGTGACCCCCAACCATAATATTATTTTCGTTGCTACTTCACAACTGTAATTTTGCTACTGTTATGAATGGTAATCTAAATATCCGATATGCAGGATGTATTTTTAGTCACTGGACCAAATTTGGCACAAATACCCAATACTCCCAAATTTGAATACTGGTGAGGTTGGGGGTGATTGATTTGGTCATTTGGTAATGCTGGAGTTTCTGGGATTTATAGTTCACCTAAAATCAAAGAGCCTTCTGAACTCCACCAATGATGGAATTGAATCAAACTGGGCACACAGAATTCCCATGACCAAGAGAAAATACTGGGAAGGTCTGGTGGACATTGACCTTGAGTTTTTTGGAGTTGTAGTTCACCTACATCCAGAGAACACTGTGGACTCAAGCAATGATGGATCTGGATCAAACTTGGCACAAATACTCAATATGCCCAAATGTAAACACTGGTAGAGTTTGGAGAAAATAGACCTTGCCATTTGGGAGTTGTAATTGTTGGGATTTATAGTTCACCCACAATAAAATAGCATTCTGAACCCCACCGATAGAATTGGACCAAACTTTCCACACAGAACCCCCATGACCAACAGAAAATACTATGTTTTCTGATGGTCTTTGGCGACCCCTCTGACACCCCCTCGCGACCCCCATGGGGGTCCCGACCCCCAGGTTGAGAAACACTGGCTTACAGCATCTATCAGCAGAAACGTGTACCATCTCAAAAAAAATTGCATACAATTTCAGGTAGTACAATATTATTGAATAATCTTAATAGCAATATAATAACACCAATACACAAAAACTGCTCTATGCCACTCCATGAGTACCCGCATAACTGGCTATGACAACTTTAGGAATTTAACCCATCTGCAATGTTTGCTCTAGGGCAGGCGTCCTCAAACTGCAGCCCTCCAGCTGTTTGGGCCTCCAACTCCCAGAAGCCCTAGCCAGCTTGTTCAATGCTCAGGAATTCTGGGAGTTGAAGGCCAAAACAGGTGGAGTTGAAGTGGACTCATGGTGGTATTTCTGTATAGTGTGGAAGGGTCCTTTGCAACGAAAGACGCTAGATTTCAAACTTTATGTAGCTGTCTTCACCTCAGCTAGCCTTCTGGCACTGACTCTGCTTTCTCACTCCACAAAGGGCAAAATAAACTCAGTTTCAGCTGCCAGAGAGGTGATGTCAGCCGCCTTTCAGTTCATTCAGCTGAAAAACAGCAGCTAAATTTCCAAAAGAATCACATGAAAGAACCTGGCCCAGTTTAGCACTGCATCAGAGAAAGAGACTTACCCTCTGTATGGACTTCCAGTCCCCTAGAAAGAAAGAAATTGAGAAATTAAAATATGCATCTCGTTCATCTATTATTCTTTCTTATTTAGACTTTCTTCACTAATTTTACATACTGTCAGATTAAATGAATTCTTAGTAATACACAGATTAAATGGTTTCATTGATTTATTAGAAATAGCCCTAACAGGGAAGAAGGCGGCATCACAATAGCTTCCAGGGATACCAAAGCTTTACAAATTAAATCCTCCAATGCAATCAGGCAGCAAATGAAGACAGGCTGGTCCCACCTCTTCTGCTAATATAGCAATTGGCCACACCCACATCCCTTCAGGAATCATATATGAGTACCAATCTGAAAGGGACCTATCTAGGGTGTATTTTCACTGTAGAATTAATGCAGTCTGATATCACTTTAACTGCCATAGCTTAGTGCTATGGAATCATTGATTTTCTGGGTTGGTGAGGTAGCAACCCCCAGGGTTCATAGAAACTTGTGCACCAGCTGCGCCTATACCTTGGGTAGTCCACACTCTGGTTACATCCCGTACAGACTACTGCAACGCGCTCTACGTAGGGTTGCCTTTGAAGACTGTTTGGAAGCTTCAAATGGTCCAGTGGGCAGCAGCCAGGTTGCTAACTGGAGCAGTGCTCAGGGAGCATACAACTCTTCTGTTGTGCCAACTCCACTGGCTGCCAATTTGCTACCAGGCCCAGCTTACCTGTCCAAACGTATCTCTCCCTATGAACCATCTGGGAATTTAAGATCATCTGGGGAGGCCCTGCTCTCGATCCCACCTTCTTCGCAGGTGCGTCTGGCAGGGACGAGAGACAGGGCCTTCTCAGTGGTGGCCCCTTGGCTGTGGAACTCCCTTCCTTGGGATATTAGATCGGCCCCCTCCCTCCTGACCTTCCAAAAAAAAAGTAAAAACCTGGCTCTTTGAACAAGCTTTTGGAAATGTAGTGCAATAGACAAACACGGAATTATGTAAGTTGAAATATGGAATGGCTTAGATGATGCTACTGGAAAATGAGATTAACAGGAAGACATTAGTTATTATATGGTTTCAATGGTTTTTGTATTGATTTTGTAATGTTGTTTTTAAGTGTATATTTAAGTGTATATTGTGGATTGTTATGGCACCAAATGGCTGCCAATTTGTAAGCCGCCTCAATTCGCCTTTGGGCTTGAGAAAGGTGGGATAGAAATATCATAAATAAATAAATATATCATAGAGTTGGAAGAGACCTGGTGGGCCATCCAGTCCAACTCCCTGCCAAGAAGCAGGAAAATCACCTTCAAAGCATAACATTCCATAACATTCAGCTATATGCATCAAACTGTATTTATTCTACACTATAGATGCACTCTCAAAGTTGGAAGGAACCACAAGGGCCGTTTAGTCCAACCCCCTGCCAGGTCGGGATATAGCTTTCCCGAAAGATGCCAATTTAACCTCCACAAAAATACCATCAAAGATGGAGAGTCTACCACCAGTATTTTCTAGTGGCAACTGAAGAAAGGCACTTTTCTTTAAACTCTTGCAAAGAACGGCAAAGCCTAATGAGCTGGCACTACAGCAACACTCATAGCAACTGTTTGTTGTTATGTGTCCTTGCTGTTTCCACTTTTGGCAACCCTAAGGCAACCCTAGCATGGGATTTTTTTTTTTGGCAAGTTTTGTTCAGAAAAGGTTTACCCTTGATTTCCTCTGATGCTGAGAGTGAAGGATTTGAACAATATTGTATTTCTTCAATTCTAAGACTTTTTCCCCTTGATAAACATCTCTAAAAATAGACAAAATTACCATCTGCCAGCTACAAAAAGGCCACCCTACTGGGATCTGCACACATTATTCACCAATACATCACATAGTCCTAGACACTTGGGAAGTGTCCGATGTGTGATCCAATACAACAGCCAACAGAGTGATCTTGTTTTCTGTGGACAACATCTGTTGTGTTTCAAGTAATAATAAAACTTTATTTATATACAGCTCTATCTCCTCTAGGGCAGTTTCCACATAAGCAAAATATACAGAAAATATACAATGTAAGGAGAACATAGGCATAAAATCTTTAAACCACAAATATATATTAAAAACCAAATCCCACACTATTCTTTGGCATCTTACAGTTGAAGAAATACGGTATCATCCAAAGGGGTTTCCAGGGTTGATTTGAACTCCTGGAGTCTTCATTCACCATTCAAACCAATACACAACAGTACCACAGAGCAGCCATTACAGATGTTTTTTTTCTAGCCACATGACAGGACTACTTGAAGATTGCTTATAAGTTTAATCGGCTATAAATAATATGCATTTGCACTGGCTTCCTATTGACATCTTGGGACAATTTATCAAGTTTGCAAATGACACCAATGTAGAAGGTACACCAATTCTGGGTACCACAGTTGAAAAGAGATGTTGATAAGCTGGAAGGGGTCTAGAAGAGAGTGACTAAAATGATCAAAGGTCTGGAGACCATGAATCCCTATGAGGAGCATCTTAAAAGAACTGGGTATGTTTAGCCTACAGAAGAGAAGGTTGAGAGGAGACATGATAGCTATGTATAAACATGTGAAAGTGTCTCATAAGGAAGCGGGAGCAGACTTGTTTTCTGCTGCTCTTGAAACTAGAACTAGGAGCAATAGGTGCAAATTACAGGAAAGGAGATTCCACCTGAACATTAGGAAGAACTTCTTGACCGTACGAGGTGTTCAACAGTGGAACTCTCTGCCTCGGAGTGTGGTTGAAGCTCCTTCTTTGGAAACTTTTAAACACAGGCTGGATGGCCATCTGTCAGGGATACTTAGATTGTGCTTTCCTGCATGGCAGGGGGTTGGACTAGATGGCCCATGTGGTTTCTTCCAACTCTATTATTCTATGATTCCATAATTCTAATTTCTGGTGATGGTTTTTGACTTACCTGGTTTTCTGTCTTTGCTTCCTGGTTCCTGGGAATGATGTTGTGTGCCATATGATCCCAGGATTTTCTGCAGACTGAGCAAAGGGGGACTTGATCTTCCACACAAAAGAGATTTAGGTCTTCCTTGTGTATCTCACAGAGACTCGGATCCACCTGCTTTGTTTCGTCGACCACCATCGATCCGGTGGTCCCTTTCCTAAGCGGTTCTTTTGATCCAGGTTTCATTTTCAGAAAAAAGTCTTGGCAAACAGAGCAGGCAATTTTCCCCTTTAACTCTTCCTCCCAAGATTGGCTTGAACAAGCTTGACAAAAATGATGCCCACACGGTTGGATGGTTAGATGTTGACAGGGCTGCAGACAGAGACAGCAAACGGTTCCTCCACTGGGATGCTTTGCAGAATATAAGTTCTCCATGCCTGTAGCTCAAGAAAGAAGAGAGGAGAAATCCATGCAGGTCCAGCAGAGTTTATTACACACATATAATAAGACCATACTAAGGCTATTTGGGCATTTAAGTAGCCTGACCGTGAAGAGGAGATGGGGTCCACACTGTAGACCAGGCATGGGCAAACTTTGGCCCTCCAGGTGTTTTGGACTTCACCTCCCACAATTCCTAACAGCCTTCCTGGTTCCTGGGAATCATGTTGTGTGCCATATGATCCCAGGATTTTCTGAGCAAAAGAGGACTTGATCCTCCACACAAAAGAGATTTGGGTCTTCCTTTGTATCTAACCCAACGTTTCTCACCCTAGGGGTCAGGACCCCTGGGGGTCGCAAGGGGGTGTCAGAGGGGTCACCAAAGGCCATCAGAAAACACAGTATTTTGTGTTGGTCATGGGGGTTCTGTTTGGGAAGTTTGGCCCAATTATATCGTTGGCGGAGTTCAGAATGCTCTTTGATGGTAGGTGAACTATAAATCCCACCAATGACAACTCCCAAATGACAAAATAAATTCCTCATAACCCCACCAATATTCAAATTTGGGTGTTTTGGGTATTTGTGCCAAATTTGGTCCAGTGAATGAAAATACATCCTGCATACCAGATATTTACATTACCATTCACAGCAGTAGCAAAATTACTGTTATGAAGTAGACATGTAAATAATTTTATGGTTAGGGAGTCACCACAACATGAGGAACTATATTAAGGGGTTGTGGCATTAGGAAGGTTGAGAACCACTAATCTAAGCCAACATGACAAACTCCCTATCCCTGGACCACCGACTTTCTGGGGAACAAAAAACAACACCCACCTAGTTCTCCCCTGCTCATTACAAAGGCTAAGCAAAGCTTGTTAATGTGTTGATGTGAACCTAAAATCAAGGGAATTGCAAGGTGGTGTCAGGTAAAGGGTTACTCAGTTCAGAAAATACACTCACTAGAAGTAATAAAGTTTTGTTTAACTACTTAATCACACTAGGGAATGAATCCACTTTAAATCTGGTTTCTGTCTCCTGTAGAATTCCGAGGTTTGTAGTTTAGGGATGAGCTTTTAACAGCCTCACTAAAGTACAAATCCCAGAATTCTGCAGAAGGCAGAAACCGGATTTAAAGTAGATTCATTCTCTGTTCTGATGAGGTTCTAAGATAACAAAAAATCCCTACACCACTGCTGTTAGAACTGATGGGTATTACATGCATCTATAGGTTAAGGTAAAGGTTTTCCCCTGACATTAAGTCCAGTCGTGTCCGACTCTGGGGGGTGGTGCTCATCTCCATTTCTAAGCCGAAGAGCCGGCATTGTCCATAGACACCTCCAAGGTCATGTGGCCGGCCTGACTGCATGGAGTGCCGTTACCTTCCTGCCGGAGCGGTACCGATTGATCTACTCACAATTGCATGTTTTCAAACTGCTAGGTTAGCAGAAGCTGGGGCTAACAGTGGGAGCTCACGTTGCTCCCCGGATTCAAACCTGCAACCTTTCAGTCTGCAAGTTCAGCATCTCAGCTCTTTAACCCACTTTTATGCCACTGGGTTCTCCTTACATGCATCTATAAACAACATGATTCTACTTGGGCTTTTACTCTATTTGTAGGTGCAGCATTCAATGCATTTCTCATGGCTTTTATCTCCCATTGGCCTATTAATCAAAACACATCCATTGGAACAGACCTGGGACTGCCATGGTTCCCATAGCAAACTCATGAATCCGCTGAAATGCAGATAAACATTCTTAACTAATGAGAACTCACAGTACCAGGCTCTACTCAAGCAAGTGATATCAGCACATTGAAAGCATACCAACACATTCAGTATACATGTACACTAGCATCAAAAGCAGATAAGTAAACAGATATTATAGCAATAATGTGCTCCAATGGAGCATGGCATAGGCTTAAGGTCCTGACAAGTGGAAGGATTTAGGTCCTTCTTTCCTTGATCAAAAGGAATGATTAGCAAGAATACAGGTAAAGCATAAGGTTTGTTAGGAAAGGTCCTAATTCAACAAAGCTTTAATTCAGTAGATAAAATCACCTTTGCTTTAAAGTTGTAAGATTTGATCACAGATTAACCACATCCTTGTGTGTGTAGCCCAATGTTTATTTTCAGAGCTTGGAAAGGTTATTTATTTTGGATAGTGGCCTCTGACATTAAGTCTAGTCGTATCCAACTCTGGGGGGTAGTGCTCATCTTCATTTCTAAGCCGAAGAGCTGGCATTGTCCATAGACGCCTCTTAGGTCATGTGGCCAGCATGGCGGCATGGAGCACCATTACCTTCCTGCCAGGAGCCCCCCGGTGGCGCAGTGGGTTAAACCCCTGTGCCGGCAGGACTGAAGACCGACAGGTCGCAGGTTCGAATCCGGGGAGAGGCGGATGAGCTCCCTCTATCAGCTCCAGCTTCTCATGCGTGGACATGATAGAAGCCTCCCACAAGGATGATAAAACATCAAAAATCATCCAGGCATCCCCTGGGCAACGTCCTTGCAGACGGCCAATTCTCTCACAACAGGAGTGATTGCTTCTGACACGACAAAAAAAAAAAAACACCTTCCCGCCGAAGCAATAACTATTGATCTACTCACATTTGCATGTTTTCAAACTTCTAGGTTGGCAGAAGCTGGGCCTAACAGCAGGAGCTCACCCCCGCTCCTCGGATTCAAACTGCTGACCTTTTGGTCAGTAAGTTCAGCAGCTCAGCGGTTTAACCTGCTGCGCCACCAGGGGACTAGCTAAGGGTATAGGGAAACATTAAAATAAAACTTCAGTGACAATGTGACGCACACAGCATTGTGGAATAGGGACTGTCACCAAAGATGGCCTGCTTCAGTGGCATTTCACGGCCTTTGTGTGGTAAAGTCCTCTGTATGGTATAACTGAATTGAAACCATTCACCTTTAGCAAAAGAAAATAAAAATGGCAGAAGCATGACTTCCAGCTTCTTCTTGTAGCTCAGCAGATAAATGTTAAGCCTTCCTCAAACCAAGTAGCCCCTCTACCCAATCTCAAGAGTAATGCAAGTTTTCAGTGACCTGATGAATCAAGAAGATGGAACTTCTACTTTGTGACATAAGAGGGCTTTGTTACAGTAGAACAGCAGGCAATTCAGTCTAGACATCTCAACACAAACCTGGCCAAGGGTGTTTGGCAGACAGAGGTGAAGGAAACGATGGTGCTCTGGTTCCTTCTATGTTCAGAAACCAATCTTACTTCGATGATATGAATGGAACACATCCTCAGTCATTACTGAGGACATCAAACTAGTTGAAGGGGCTCCAGGCAAGTTCCATGACAGTAATCATAGAATCTTAGAGTTGGAAGAGACCTCATGGGCCATCCAGTCCAACCCTCCTGCCAAGAAGCAGGACAATTGCATTCAAAGCACCCCCAACAGATGGCCATTCAGCCTCTGCTTAAAAGCCTCCATAGAAGGAGTCTCCACCACACTCTGGGGCAAAGAGTTCCACTGAAGAACAGCTCTCACAGTTAGTAATTTCTTCCTAATGTTCAGGTGGAATCTCCTTTCCTGTAATTTGAAGCCAATGCTCCACATCCTGGTCTCCAGGGCAGCAGAAAACAACCATGCTCCCTCCTCCCTATGACTTCCCCTCTCATATCTATGCATGGCTACCATGTCTCCTTTCAGTCTTCTCTTCTGCAGGCTAAACATGCCCAGCTCTTTAAGCCGCTTCTCATAGGGCTTGTTCTCCAGACCCTTGATCATTTCAGTCACCCTCCTCTGGACACATTCCAGCTTGTCAATGTCTCTCTTCAATTGTGGTGCCCAGAATTGGACGCAGTATTCCAGATGTGGTCTAACCAAGGCGGAATAGAGGGAGAGCATGACTTCCCTGGACCTAGACACTATATTCCTATTGATGCAGGCCAAAAACCCATTGGCTTTTTTTGCCGCCGCATCACATTGTTAGCTCATGTTTAACTTGTTGTCCACGATGACTCCAAGATCTTTTTCACACATACTGCTTTCGAGCCACGTGTCTCCCATTCTGTATCTTTGCATTTCATTTTTTTCTGCCTAAGTGGAGTATCTTGCATTTGTCCCTGTTGAACTTCATTTTGTTAGTTTTGGCCTATCTCTCTAATCTGTTCAGATCGTTTTGAATTCTGTCTTCTGAAGTATTGGCTATCCCTCCCAATTTGGTGTCATCTGCAAACTTGATAATCATGCCTTCCAACCCTTCATCTAAGTCATTAATAAAGATGTTGAACAGGACCAGGCACAGGATGGAACTAATGGTTCGGGGGGACATGGAATGGGTGGAATTGCCCCTCCTGTCCTATGACATCTGTAGTTATATTAATTAGATTTAGACTGCTGCTTTGTTATCTGAAATAAAGTTTGTACCTCCTGACAACTTTGTTATCTGAACGGAGAATGTCTGTACTCAATAGAAACTACCAGGGGTCCATCTACACAAACCCAAAATGTGGGCCCAATGCAGTTTGAATTGTAACAGATGAACCAATGGAGGTGTTGCAACAAGCAAGTTGCATGATCCCTGTATCTAGTCATATTTAGCAATCTGGCTCACAACCTCTTAGGATGCCTGCCATAGATGTGGATCAGGAGAGAATGCTTCTGGAACATGTCCATACAGCCCCGAAAACTCAGAGCAAACCACAATCTAGCTGTGGCTGTTGGGACCACCCATAGCTAGTGGAATGTGCTATGTGGAATGTGTTACAATAATCCAGCTGGGATTCTAACTAAGGTATATGTCACTGTGGCCAAATCTGATGCTTCAAGGAACGGAGCAAGCTAACACAAGCTTTAACTGTGCAAAGACATTCCTGGACACCACTGAAACCAGAGCTTCCAGGCTCTACGCAGATTTCAGGAGCACACTCATGCTGTGGACCTGCGTCTTCGGGGGAAGTGTAACTCCATCTAGCACAAGCTGAAGCTATATTACTCGATCTGCTTTGTCACTAACCAGGAGCATTCGCTAGCAGTATTTTCAACCTGACGTTGTATTGCCAAGATCACCAAGGTTGCTTCAGTTGAGGGACATTGTAGTTTTCCTATCCTTTAAATTAAAATTAAGCGCTTCCTGTATTGTCGAAGGCTTTCATGGCTGGTATCACTGGGTTGTTTTAGGATTTTCAGACCTCACAACTTCTGAGGATGTCTACCATAGATGCAGGCGAAACGTCAGGAGAGAATGCTTCTAGAACATGGCCATATAGCCTGAAAAACGTACAACAACCCATAAATGTTGTAAATAAATAAATAAATAAATAAATAAATAAATATGTTTCCCTTTCCATATCTTCCATTGCCTTGTACAACTGTAGTGAATGCTTCCTTGGGTCCAGCATTTCCATTCTTTTTTTAAAGAATACATCCTTCCTAGTGTAGACGCCCTGTGCACTTAGAGTCATAGAGTTGGAAGAGACCTCATGGGCCATCCAGTCCAACCTCGTGCCAAGAAGCAGGAAAATTGCATTCAAAGCACCCCTGACAGATGGCCATCCAGCCTCTGCTTAAAAACCTCCAAAAAAGGAGCCTCCACCACAGTCCTAGGCAGAGAGTTCCACTGCTGAAAAGCTCTCACAGTTAGGAAATTCTTCCTAATGTTCAGGTGGAATCTCCTTTCCTGTAGTTTGAAACCACTGTTCGACATCCTAGTTTCCAGGGCAGCAGAAAACAAGCTTGCTCCCTCCTCCCTATGACTTCCCCTCACATATTTATGCTTACAGATGATAATGCTGTAATTTTAAAGTAAACATTAACAGAATGCAGGCCTTCTTCTTTCAGACAGCATGACCAGCCCTTGCTTTTGCTTTCTCCAAATGTTCCCTTAAAAATACAATCCCCTTCTTTCAGAGGCAATGCTTCCAACAGTAGGCTAGGAACTTTCCAGGATTTATTTTCAAGTTTTCCCTCTATTCTACATTTCTGATGAATGGAAGCTTTCAATAAATAATATCTGTTTTATCTTTCTTTAATAGACATGGTATCAAGAACCAGTGTGTTTTAGTTCCCCTTTTGAATGCAAGTTTATAAAATCTTGGTGACCTACCTGGAATTTCACCGTATGACTTTGTCTCCTCCGGGCCTCTCAACACAGTTTATGGGAGACGAGTGTTTCTAGTAGATACTAAATTTTCTTCTGGTCTCAAGCCTTATCTTAGCTCTTCAGCCCAATGCAATTTCGTCAGTCCTGACACTTCCCTTGAAAGTCAGCCACTAACTGAACGGGAAGCAGAGAAACTGAGCATGGGAGGGAACGCAAGGTAGTGTAGGGTGCTTTACGACAAACAGAAAGGGCTAAATTGGTCCAGCTTCATTTTGCCAAGGCCAGCAGACATTAAATAACAAGAGAGTTGTCAACACCGAGGGAGCCAAGGGGTTGTTTAGAGCGACAGGCGCAAGTGTGACCCAGAGTGACCCATGAATGTGGAAGAAGGGAACATTTGCAGGGAACAGCTTCAAGTCCCAAGATGTAAAAAGACAAATTAGCTAACTTCAGAAGTTCTGGAATTACAGACCAGGATGTCTGGGTGAACGAGGTTGAATTTCTCAAAAGAATGACAGGGCACAACCAGGAATAGGTGACAGTTAAACAAAAACAACATCAACCTGTGAGTATGTCGATTCCAAAGACGGCAGGTTAAACGAGGACGTCGTCTTTTGACAGATATGTGGTCCAGTTCCTTCTGCATAGTAGGTCCCACTAAAGCCTGACAGATAGTTGGCAGACAAGAGTTTGTCCTATTTACTTCACAGAGGCGCAAAAGCCTCGGCGGTTATTCAATTTAGCTCCTTAATCAGCATAATCCCCAATTATCTGTTAGAATTTCACACGCGTACTGGGTTCCTAAGGCTCTCCAATTCATTTTTACAATTAGTATCCATTTATTATTGTAATATTAAGACCAATAAGTCTAATAAGACAGTGGCAACATGCACGCGGTAAATCTACTCCGGGCTTTAATCCAAAATTCAAAGGAGTGCCAAGACTATTCTGAGGAGAGGATTCAACACTTTTTGAAGTTTAGCTCATTTAAAGTTTAGAGGAAAACCCATTGACTCTGAAGCTACAAATATCTGATGTAAGAGGGATGTCTAATAAGGAACTGGAGGTTCCTAACCATGAAATTTGCAAGTTTCGGAAAAACACTTTGGCAACTGCGGTCAAATGTTAATATTGATAGGTGGAAAGTAGACATACGATAGTTTGATAAATCTGCTTGCCATGTCTCCAGCTCTGCAAACCTGCCCAGCATAACTTTAACATTAGGCATAATTTGGTAAGCAATACTGATTTGTTATTTCTTATTGGAGAATTATGATCATTGGAAAGGCATGACCTTGTTAGAAGTCATAACCTTTTGGAAAAATGATGCCATAACCTTTTGGGAAATGGAAATCTCCATAACCTTTTGGAAAATGGCATTCACCATCATGGGGTTTTTCTATTGTATTGGCATCGAATGTTTGCCTGCTGGAAGCTGCCCTGAGTCTCTCTTCAGAGGTCGAGAATAGGATGGGATATAAATGTTCTAAATAAATAAATAAAAAGGGATTTTTCAAAATTTGAAAGAATTCCAGCAGATAATTAGGGGTGAGGAATCCACAAGTGCCATACTGATGGCTACATGATGTTTACAAAAACTCTCCTCCTCCCCCACAATTCATGGGAAGCCATATTTCTCATCAGGTGTTTCTTCTAGCCCAGTGGTTCCCTACCTTTTTTGTCCAGGGACAACTCTCCAACACTAGTACCAAAAGAGTTACAAATCAGTTTTTGGTCAACTTTAGATTCAGTTTGGTTGTTTGGGGTCCTGATTCAGAAAATTGCATTGGATAGACCACATCAGTTCAAGTTTCTGATACAGAACATATGCCATCCAGTAGTCGTTACCCGCTCACCCACAGAAAACCATATTTAATAATCTAGAGCTGATGTGGTAGTAATAATGTTTTGTGGGTAGTCAGCCTCTCCCCTCCTGACATCCCTATTGCCTCAACACTATAAGAGGATTTCGTGAGACCAGTCACTCTCGTTGCTACGTGGTTTCAAGGCAATGGTGCAGTAATGGTGAGGCCGCAGAACATATTTTCATTCTTGTGGACTACTGGTGGTCCACGGACCACAGGTTGGGAACCACTTTTCTAGGCAATAAAAAAATCCCAGGGGAATTTTATGAAACATTGCATCCTTTTTTTTAAAGGACAGAATGAAACATTATATATTCTGAACCCAGTGATTACTTTTTGTGGTGCAGATGGGGTATAGTGAAATTACATTTGAAATTGAAATGATCAATATATCATAATGTTTGAAGACAACTATATTGCACTCTGCTATTCACATCCATTTCACCATTGGATTATGGAGTTTCAACCAATCCAATCCTAAAACTAGTGAGAACTGAGCTGTGGTGGCAATTGTGAAATGCATGGTTTACGGATGCTCTCCCACTCCCAAGAATACATGTTCAGTTTTATATTTTACAGAGACTTTTTTTTAAAAAAAATGGGTTTTTTCCCACTCCCACCCTCCCCTCCTTGTATATACAATTAGAATCATAGAATCAAAGAGTTGGAAGATACCTCATGGGCCATCCAGTCCAACCCCCTGCCAAGAAGCAGGAATATTGCATTCAAATCACCCCTGACAGATGGCCATCCAGCCTCTGCTTAAAAGTTTCCAAAGAAGGAGCCTCCACCACACTCCGGGCAGAGAGTTCCACTGCTGAACCGCTCTCACAGTCAGGAAGTTCTTCCTCATGTTCAGATGGAATCTCCTCTCTTGTAGTTTGAAGCCATTGTTCCGCATCCTAGTCTCCAAGGAAGCAGAAAACAAGCTTGCTCCTTCCTCCCTGTGGCTTCCTCTCACATATTTATACATGGCTATCATATCTCCTCTCAGCCTTCTCTTCTTCAGGCTAAACATGCCCAGCTCCTTTAGCCGCTCCTCATAGGGCTTGTTCTCCAGACCCTTGATCATTTTAGTCGCCCTCCTCTGGACACATTTCTGCTTGTCAATATCTCTCTTGAATTGTGTTGACCAGAATTGGACACAATATTCCAGGTGTGGTCTAACCAAAGCAGAATAGAGGGGTAGCATTACTTCCCTGGACCTAGACACTACATTTATACATTAAATTTATACATCAAACCACAGAAGTAGTACGCCACTATTTAATGACAGGATTTAGGATTTATATTTTACAGAGTCCATCCTTCATCTCGCTCCTATCCATTTGCACAAAAATTATCGGGGTGCAGAGCTTTATCGTGGCCAAACCCATTTTAACAGCTGTCTCAGGCTTTATTATGGATTTTGTGCCACCTGAGTCCAAGATTGCATTTATTGTCAAGGTCTCTTCCATTTCCTTCTTTGCTCAAGCGCATTTTCAGCCAAAACGGGTGGTTGGTGCTACTCACCACTGTTTTGAAGCACCATTTCCTTGCTGCCTGGTGGAAAGGGAGGCTGCCACCACTCCCCAATGCATTGGAGCGCCGTTTTCTTGCTGCCTGGATGCCGGCGCACACTAGTCCAGGCAAGCCTCATTTCCTGAGGGCTCTTCGCAATCTGATGCATCGTCCTCGGGGTCTGCATGGCAGGACTCAGGATGTCTCTACTGCTTTGCAGCCAGTGTTGTCACCTTTGCCTTCCTCCCCTTGTCCAGGTTCCCCTTCTGCCGACTTTCTTCTGGTTTGTGCCCTGCAGGTTTCCTCCCGTTTTCTGGGCAGGCTACGGCCAAATGCCCCTCACCTCCACAACGTAGACAAAGGCCCAGCTTCCACCTTCGTTCCTTTTCTCCTGGGTCAAGCCTCTGTCTGCTCCTGGGCAGGTTGTCATCCTTCTTCAGCATCTTTCTGGGTTGTCTTTGGCGGGCTCTTTTGATTTCTTCCTTCACCATCTCTCCCTTGCCGGCCAGGTCCACCCATCCCATCAAGGTGTCTGGACTGCCTCGCGCCAGCACCCATTCCAAGAGGTCTGGTCTCAAACCGTCCTTAAACACTTGGATCCTGAAGGCTTCATTCAATTCAGGGAGCTGTGATGCCAATCTCCTAAATTCCAGGACGTACTCTTGAACAGAGCAGGAGCCTTGCTTCAGGTTCATCAGTTTTGCCCTAACTTTGTCCTTGCGAAGGGGATCCTCGAAGCGTGACCTCAGGGCCAGCATGAAGGCATCCAAATTGTTCAGCTCCGGGGCACTTATGTCATACAGAGCCAGTAGCCATTCAGCTGCCACGCCCTCCAACTGGTCGGCCACATGTTGGACCTTGTCCGTTTCATCTGCGAAAGAGTCTGTCCACTTGCTCATGAAGGCTGCAACTCTCGTCAAAAAAATTGGTAATTTCTCTGGGTTTCCGTCAAAGGTGGCTCTGAGCTTCATCTCTCCTCTGCACTGTGGTTGGACCCTGCCCCCCTCTCCCTCAGTCCTCCGGCAATGTGGGGAAGGGGCTGCTGCCGACAGGCCAGGGGTGGTTACCTGGGGAGGAGATGCCACTGGAAGCTTGAGAGTAGCTTCCTTCTTCCTAGGATTGCTGTAATCTCTCAGCAGCAACAAATGGAATAGCTCTTTCACTTGCACCAGTTCCTGCCTCAACTCCTGCACTTCCTGGCTGCCCGTTGAGTGGAGAGGGTCATACTCCCAGCTTGTTGCCAGCCTGGCTCTGGGAAACTCCTCCATCCGAGCAGGTGTGACCCGCCAGCAGCTGGTCATTGATGGGGAGGCTGCTGCATCCTGAGGATTGTAAGATCCTGACATCTCTCCTCCTCCAGAACTTGCTTCTTCCTCAGAGATGTCCGCAAGTTGGTTCCTGACAGCGATTTCCTCTTCTCCCTGAATGTTTGTGGTAGGTAGAAGTTGAGAGAGAGAAAGTTGATGATTCCAAACAAATTGTAAATGTCCTTTGCTCCATCTGTGTTGCTATGGATTTAGTCACCTCTCGGAAGAACACTGTAAGATGCACAGGGGCTGAGGGTACCACACTGTTGGAAAGAGCAAACTCCTAGAAGCCTCCTATACTATAAGGGTTGAATGAAAAGTAATGCCTCCACCTTCGTAACTCCTCAACAGATGTTAGTACTGGTAGGCTGCAGGTACTGGCTTGTTCAATAGACTCTCCTCTACAGTTCCATTTTGGTGGGAAGCCCTAGCATTGATGTTGTTAAAGTGCAAAGTATGGAATCCTGAGCAGACGGTGAGTCAATGTGACTTAAGCAATGTGCAGTCATTGAATTCATGACAGCAGAAGGTGTCACCTCAACATCTTTAAACTTGCTTGCCCAACGATGCACAGTACTCACATCAACACAAT